GTTTGGTGGATTCTCATTCTTATTCAGGGTTTCCTATCCAGCACGTTTGTTCTTTGATTGTTGAATTACTGCTGTTTTAACAAGTTTTATCACCTAGTTCGCTGGTGGTTTGACTTTTTACACATTTACTAAGATTGCTAGAATTTTGTGGTTTAGGTTTATTTAGAGAGAACCTTCATTGATTTGGGTGTCTTTCACCAATGACTGCATTAATGTTTTAGCTTTATTGTTTTTTCTTCTATGTTGTATTTTTTCTTTCCTTGTCTGGTTGCAACTCCTTTTGCACTTTGTTTAAGCTAATGATTTCTTGAATTCCGGTTTTCCAGATGAACGTGGGCATTTCATGCATGTGCAAGAATGATGAAGTGTTAATTTAAGCTGTAGCGTTGTAGTAGTAGTGTCAAGGGATGAGGTGGGGGTGGATTATTTAATTTAAAAACTGTAGTGTTATAGGCACAATGGGAGAAGAATGACAAGCCCTTTTGATGAGCTTTGTAAAATGGCATGTTTGTATAATTGCCCACCTTCAATTGTAACTTTACTAATTACAAATACCAAATGATTTAGTTCGCAACTGAAGACTAACTAGTACCGTTACTGAGTAGATTTTGTCCATTACTCACATGGTGTTTCATTAATTTTGCGATGTAAAAGCGAGCTCAATCTACAACTGTTTAACTATAGTCCAAACTCCAAAGGAGAGGTAATCACCATGTTGCTGTTAATGAACCCCCAGTTAGTGTATAACTTGCGATGAATCCTAAATTCCTAATGCGTCTTTTTACCCCCTGGAGCGTTTTTTTGGTCTTTTGAAATCCTCATCATTGTTAGCATCAGTTATTGCATCTCTCCCCCTCGCTCGAGGGCGCCCCACGTTTTTTGTTCCACTTTCCCTTGTTGTCGTGCCCTCTATTCTCTTCTTCTTCTTCAACCGCCGCTCCTCTCCCCTTCCACCTTTAGAATCGCTCAAAAGCTTCTTTGATTGTGTCTCCGTTGTGGAACTCCTCTTGATTCTTTTCAAAAAGTCAGCTGCACCACTTTTCTTCTCCGTCCTGCTAAAGCTGCCACCTTCGTTCTGCTTCACCACAATCATCTTCCCAACTTCGTCTTTGTTAGTGCTGTCAGCATGACCTTTTGTTGCCCTCCTCATGCCCCTAACGCCTGTCACGTGTGGAGAAGGTGGTGTAGCTCCTTTGGTTACTGATACGGAGCTCCTCTTGCGGCAAACTACAATGGGAGCTGCTGTGGTGTTGGGGTTGCGCCTTGCAAACAAAGAACTCGGTGTATCCAGTTCAACTTTGGGTCGAACCTTGCCGGTGGATATGGATGGATGCATCATTGATGTTGGTGCATTTTTCTCCTGCATGGTCTTGAGCTTCTTCATGACAAGGGCCCGGAGTTCATGGGCTGCGATGGATTCTTGCGATGACTTGGGGAAGAAGACAACAGCGTTGTTGAAGAGAAGTAAAAGATCCACGTAGAATTTGGTGGAGCAAGAAGCGTAGGATCCGTCATCTATCCGGGCTTGGACCGTTTCAAGATCCACGTGATTCCGGACAATTCTATTGTACTTGTCTGTTTTCTGCATCGTTCCAATAAAATATGGGTCAGCAAAAGATGTACAGATCCGTTTGTTACGTGCAAAAGATTAACGTTCCCAAAGTGAATTAATAGTGTGACGATCCCTCAAAAAAAATAGTGTGACGAGATAACAAAAAGGTGACCAATTTAACATTTGATATGTTGAATTAACTTTTTAATTATTATTAATTTATTATTACTTAATTACGGATCTAAATCAGATGAATGCATTGGTCAATTAATACTGACTAATTCGACGCGCAAACGTAATGATTACGGAATACGGAGTATTCGGATATATTTTTTGCTTTGGGCTCTACACAAGTAGAGGTTTAATACGTAGTATTACGTTTTCAGTTAATTTGTTCTTTTAAAATTAGTTTTCTTAGATTAGATTTTGCTGGTTTAGTCTCACAATAATAATTGCGATGATGATGACAATTATAGTAATAGCCACTACATTGGAAATATTGTAATACTAATATTGATACTAATAATAATTGTATTTGATAAAATAATACTACGTACTATGTAATACTTCTATTTAAATATTGTTATAAATAATACTACCTCCGTCCCAATGGACTTTGCACTCCTTGAATTAAGTGAGAAATAAGAATAGTAAAAATTGTGTGGTTGAAGTTTGTGCAGAAGAGAGAGAAATGAGTAGAGCCACAAAATAGTTACTTAAATAGGAAAGTGACAAAATTTTTTGAGACAACCAAAAAGAGAAAGTTAGAAAAGTCCAATAGGACGGAGGGAGTAATTATAGTTTATCCAAAAAAATAATGGCACATAATAATAAATATTGTACAACTTCCGTTCTTTAAAACTTTGTCATATTTAACCTTTCAAATCAACGGTGGTAAAATTTGGATTATGATTCAATAAATGTAATATTACGAATGATATACATTTATACTTTTTTGAAAACATTTGAAAAAGTATTTTCATGTCCTTTTTATGTTATAAATAATTTTTTATAAAAATAAAACAATGACTATGAAAACATAAAAGATGACAAAAGTTTAATGCAGTGAGGGAATATAACGCAACACGCAAATCATAGAAATTGCGGATTACTCGGACATACGCACTTACGCAGTAGATTTTACTTTAGACCCACAGCAAGTAGATGGTGAAATATATTGTCCTTATCTAGTTATCTTTTGTTCTTTCAACATTAGTATAATGGCAAAAATAAGAATAGCATACGGAGTATTTAGGACATGCTTTCTTAGAGATTATGTTTTCTAGTTAGAAAAATAATACGGATACAAACAAGAAAAGGATACTGGTCTAAGTCATTATTTTAAAATTTACTTACGTTTAAATCATTCAGTAAGAATCTTCTGATTGATCCATTAGAACAATGTATGATACGTTGAGGGTACTATAGAATTTGACATGTTTTTTATCTTTAAACATTTGTAAATACTGTCAATCTCAAACAATATTGTCATCTTTAAAATCTAGTCATTACAAGACACGACATTAATTACTTTTACTTAAAGACAAAAACTAATAATACTATTTGGAATTCCAACATTTTAATTCTATTTAGAACAATATTTGTAACAATAATAGCAATAATAATAATAATAATAATAATAACACTTATAATAACAACCATAATAGCAAAATAATATTTTCTCCATTATTTAATTCTTGCAACATTGTCGTTTTTGTACTATTCACAGACCTTACTTTGACCACGATTTTATATTAATATACATAATCAAATTATTACGTATAAAATTTTATTAGATTCCTATCGATGTGAATTTCCAAAATATCAACTCTTTATAATGTTTGCTACTGTAATACATAAAGTTGTGCGTTGACAAACATGAAAGTCAAATTGTTGCAAGATAGTATTACCTATTAGAAGTATGTTCATTTTGTAGACTCTTAATTGTTAAATGTATCTATGAAACGATAGGAGGACATAATCTAGTTTCGTTTATGTTAGCCGTTTTTTAAGGTTTATGTTAACAGTTACGGCGATTAAATGACTCTTTGATGATTCGATGTCATTTTTTATTTATATCGTTTTCCCTACTTTGCAAACCTATACTTCACCCGTCCCTTAGAACTTTGTCAATTTTCCTTTTCTTGGATGTCTCATTAACTTTGTCACTTTCCTTTATAAGTAGAGAATTTGTGATTTCAGTTAATTCTCTCTCATCTGCACAAAACTCAACCACACAATTTTTACTTTATTAATTTCTGTGTCAGTCAAACTTGACAAAGTTTTAAAGGACGGAGAGAGTACCACATAATACTACGTAAGACAAAAGTATTTCTTGGAGAAAACAAATGAAATCATAGTTTTATTTTGGACTGGAATTTGCTAGTCTGGTCTAATAAATTTCTGGTTTCTATGTAGTTTATAACTGTCCAAGTCTAGTATGATCTAGTCTGTTTAAGTTTGATCTGATCTGATCTGTATAAATCCGTCTGATCGGGGATAGAAATCAGTTAAAAGAAAACATCCTTATTTATATATTTTCCTCTTTAAGCATGTTACGTAAAAATATATTTTGCACATTTAAAATTATGATTTAGGCAAAACTAGCAATTTAAAAACATAAAAAACCTTATGAATTAAAAAAAACTTGTACGGGTATTTCAAAATGATTTGTATTTAGGACTATCAACAAAACTAATACTAACTCCGTCCTCGTTTGCATTGTACTCCATATATATAATATAATGGTTAAGTGATGATAACTATGATATCATAAGTGATTTATTTTAGGAAAAATTGATAGTAGTAATCCCAACTATTGGCGGTTCGCTCATAATAATCCCAACTATTGATTATTACAGAATAATCCCAACTTTAGGGATCTTCCGCGAATAATGGTCCCTATGAATAAATTCTTGTAGTTTCTAAAGTGGATGAGATGAGATATAACAAGTAATCCCTATAAACAATCTCAACTTTTAATTTTCACGCTTAATTTCTATTTAAAATTCACTTTTTATAGAGGTAATATATGGTCATGGACCATTATTGGCTGATAGTCTATATAGTTGGGATTATACAAAAATAATCAATAGTTGGGATTATTTTCAGCGGACCAGCAATAGTTGGGATTATTATTTTCAATTTTTCCTTTATTTTATCATAATATCATAATTTTAAATTATGATTATAAATACGGAGTAATATGCATATGTTATGCGGAAAATTTTGACTTTTAGCCATACTATAAAATGGGACTAAGATGTACTTTTAATTCATTTGTACACAATTCTCAGTTGTTACGGGATGTAAGCCTTTCTAAAAAACTTGCCAAAAATCTAACGGTACGTGAAAGAACATATGGAGACGAATGATGTTCTTCGTATAGTTTGTAATTTTGTATGGGATTTCAACTAATTGGTTTTCTTAGCTATGATTATTAGCCTGTTTTTGTAATAACGCATTTTTAGTTTATTCAATAAATTTCATTTCAACTTAACAACTTTGAGTATGAACCGTTTCCCGAACTATTTATCTGTATAACATGACTGGAAGAGTTGCAATTAGGTGGAGGGCTCATTTTGGATCTTAAAAGTGGGTCCCCAACATCGAAATCACCTTCAATCATTTCCTAATATGTATTGCGAAGCAGGTGATTATTACCTGAATCTGGAGCCGTCGCTTGAACACCCTGCCATACTTGTGCGACCGGATAACATCTAAAAGGGCAACCAACGGCTCTGATTTATTCGCGCTGGCCCGTTTCATGACGATGGCGGGAGACGGCGCCACCGCCTGCTCACCGCCGCCTCGCTTCCGGCGCTTTTTCGTCAAGCTGGCGGAGCTTTCCACGTCACCTCCCTCTTTTGTCACGTCATTGGACACGTCGTCACCGTTACTTTTCTGACCGGTCTTGGAAGTCTCGTGCCGGTTCAAACTATCTATGCACGAGTCTTCCCCGGTCGGCTTTTCCTGCGAATCCGGTTTCGCGTGGACCGGATCGGGTTTACACTTGTCCTCTGCTTCGGTATTCTCAGCGGAATTCGACTCGTTAACCGATCGGTTTTCATGGTCAGAATTCCCGCCGGAGACGACCTCTCCTATTTCATCGGACTTGTCTCCGTCGTCGGCTATATTCTTCTTCCTGCTCCCTGCTAGATCTGGTTCAATGGCAATCTCTTGCCCATCCTTCATGCTCCGCTCTCTCTCCTCCAGCATCCGCTTCACCTTCGACTGCAAAGACCTGCTTAGATCAAATCTCATCGTCAGATCCGCGAACAGAAGATTTTCCACGTAGCAAAAATTCTAAAAAAAAACAGAGGTTTGTTTACTGGATCGAGAGATCGTGGCGATGGACCTCTTGCCTGAGCTCGGCGACGCGGAGCTCTCTCAAGTCGTCCAGCCAAGGAATAACGACGTCGCCGCCGTCGTCAATATCGACCGCCGCGTGGCCGTTCGTAAAGCGGCGTTGGAGGTCGCGATATTTCTCTCTGCAAATTTGAGCTGTGAGGAGGGCGGGCAAGGAACTCCGGCTCCGGAGCTCCAGCGCCACAGCATCCCAGTCCTTGATCCCATGGCGCTTTACGGAGAAAGCGAGTAGGAGTTCCTCCCAGGTACTCCATGTCGTCTTCTTCTGTGCCTCTGCAATATTTGACATATCAATTACACGTAGCTTTTTATCCTGAGATTTATGATCTATCCGTGGTTTCGTGTGGATATATGTACAGTTTTTTGTAAATATTCAACCACTTTAAGTCCGATTAGGGTTTATTCGCCTCTGGTTTAATTTGTCTGTCGTCTTCGTCGTTCTCTAAAATAAACAACTTTTCTAGTTGGAGCTTCGAAATCTTTGTGGGTTTTTAAATAGGAAGAGGAGATCGATCGGTTTTGGGTTTTGCTTGGTGGGTTTTATATTTGCAGCCATGGGCCTATTGCCCTGACCTCGCTACTTGATTTACTCCCTCCGTCCCAATATGATAGCCTCGTTGCGATTTTTGATGTTTGACCGATGATAAAGTAAAGAGATATTATCCGAAATATGACTAAAAAGGTTTGAAAATTCCAAAATAGGACTGTCATGTTTTTATTCCCAAAATAGGACTAATTACTGCCATGTTTTGGCAGTACCAGACTTTAAACATGGCAGTATTTTCCAAACATGTCAGTAATTACTCCTATTTTGGGAATAAAAAACTTGACAGTCCTATTTTGGAATTTTCAAACTGTTTTAGTCCTATTTCGGGAACTTTCCCTAAAGTAAACAGATTCTTATCCTCACTCAAAATTATTTTTAGAATAAAAAATTACATATTCAGAAACTACATTAACAACTTTACTAAGTCTCAAAACCAAAATCAAATGTGATAAAAATTTGATGCATAAAGTTAGAGATTAAGAATGATTTGTGTTGACCAAGTGAATAGGAAATGAGCTCACCAAATTGGGACGGAGGTAGTATTTATTAGTCGGAATTCGTTTTTAACAGAGTGGTTGACTATATTACCCCTATGCCAGAATAGTTTTCTTCTTGCGAGAAAACAATTTAGTGCCCGTTTGGTAACATGAAAATCGACTGATTCGGCTTATTCTGCTAAAATTTATGAAGTTCTGGTTAAAGTGGCTGAATCGCCTAATTCTGCTGATTTAAGAAAAAATTATTTTTAAAATACATTTTAGGGAAAAATAATTAAAATACCCCAAACTTTGAATGAGTGTGACATAAACACCCCAAACTTTCATATGTAATTAAAATACCCCAAACTTTATATAAAATGTTATTTTAACACCATGATCATGCATTATTTATTTCAAAAATGTAAATTTGTGGTGTTAATTGCATAATTTAAAATAGCAAATTGAAAACGTTGCAATTACATAGAGTGGGGGTGATACTATTTATTTTACAATTAAAGTTTAGAATGTTATTTGTATCTACATGAATGCTAAAATATTTTAAATTATGAAATTAACACAAAAAATTAACATTTTTGAAAGAAATAATACATGATCATGATGTGCTTACCTCACACAAAATTACTTTTTTATAAATTTGGGGTATTTAAACTACATATGCAAGTTTGGTATGCTTACCTCACACCCCTTCAAAGTTTAGGGTATTTTATTTAATTTTTCCTATATTTTATTAATAAAATAATGAAAAATATATGTAAAAATAACTAAAATGGTCATCTAAAGTAGCTTCAGCCAATACAGCCAGAAAAGTAACTCTAAGCTTATTTTTTTTATTATTACACTATTTAGCGCGCGAAAACAAAACTTACGTGTTTGATGAAAAAGTTGGCTAATAAGCCTGATAAGCTGAAAAACAGTGTTACCAAACGGCCTCTTTTCTGTTGTTGTATTAAACATTGCCAGCTTTATATTGAATGTGAAATGAAAAATTAAAAACTATATACTTTGATATTAAATTTTTTAAACAAACAAAAAAACTGCAAAACCCAAACAGAGGCAATGAAAAATTAGGATTCTGTGATCAAACTTGGACATGTCCATTTCCAAAGAAACGGAACAACCGCATGTCTGCGCCCAATATTCTCATAAACATTGTCTGTAAATCTACTTTGAAAATCAACACACATCAACTGTAAGTCTTGCCAACACCACCCATGGGCGGCGTAGCGTGAGGAGGCGGCAGCTAATTCCAAAGTAGCGCAGGCAGCCGGTATACGTGTATAACCTTATGCTTCACAACCCACCTCCCGGAGCCGCCACTGTCGTACTCCACCAGAACCCACAATTCTCCGTGGGGGATGGCCTAATAACACCACCTCGATCTCCCCTGCCTCCTTTGTAGGCTAAAGGGCCGTCCTGATCCACGTTCCAGTACATCACCCTATCAATCACAAACGAGCTGGCATGGATCCTGGAGGTTAGAAATTGTACGGCTCTCCGTCCACGCATTTGTCGCTGAGGAGTAGATCTGCAGCTCCATCGTATACAAATATCTGGCCGGGGCCCTGGGAGAGGCAGATCGGGGCACACAACTTCATAGTGAGCACAGCCCGGCCAGCCGCTTGCCCCCGTCGGCGCTGCAGTTGAGGCCGACGATGCTGAATGTGAAAGTCCTCAACGGATGCGGAAGGCGACGAGATGATTGGGTTTCATACGATGTAGTCATTCAAATCTTTGTCAGGAGTGGGGCAGCCGCAGTCGTAGAGGAGGAGGCCGTTGGACGAGCAGAGGATGTGAACCTGTTGGAGGTATTGGTCCTACCAAGGCCTCCCTTCCACTTTATTTGTTGAGGCTTGCACCCTATTGTTTTACTCCCACTTTGGTACCTTTACCTTGGTATTTTATCTGATCAATAACATACCTATTTGAGGGTTGACTTACCCACTTGGCTGGCCCCTCTGTGTTCTGTCCGCTGCATACTTCACTTGTCTTGGCCTATGCTTGTGACTTTCCTTTGTCTAAGATGCATGTGAGTGTCTTTTGTATTGACCTCACCCGTGACTTCCTTGGCAGCCTATTAATAGTCTTTGCTTCTTCCTTGTGAGCCTCAGCCTGCGAGAATCATTTCCAGAGAGCAGTGCTCTCCTTCTTCTCTTTCCCTTTGTGTGAGTATTGAGAGAGGGACTTAGTGGTGAGATAAAAACAGAGAGTTGTGCTAAAGCTTCCCCTAGTGTGGTGTATGTGAGTAGAGTGTGTAGAAAGACCTGAGCCGGAGACGGAATACGATCCTTACAGTGGTATCAGAGCCCGGAGCCGCCGTCTGCCGCCGTACGCCGCTGCCGCCGACGATTGGAGGTCGCCGGATGCCAGTGAAGCACCACCTGTGGCCGTTCGTCGCTACAGAACCAACTGGAGAGCCATTCCCGTCGGAGATAAAGGTCTGCCGCCCCGCCTGGAAACTCGCCGCCGCAGGACTCGCCGGTAGCAGAGGACCTTCGCCGGAGATTGCTCGCTGACCGTCTGGAACCCGTCTCCAGTGGTCGCTTGTTGCTAGGCCCGTCGCCCGCCGGTCGACTGTGTGCTCGCCGGCCATCCTCCGTCACTGGAGCCGAGGCGTTGTCCGCTTTCCTTCGTCGCAAGCATCGCGTATGTGATACGCTGTGAGCTGAGGCGCTGAACTCCTGGAAAGGCTGGAGAAGATTATCTGGGCTGCTGGATTAGTGATGCTGTTGGGCCGATGGTATTTTTTTTTGGGAGCTGGGCTGCTGCACGTGAATTACTAGACCAGGCCTAGGTGCTGGTCTACTGAAGCTGCTGTGTTGTTGGGCTGGTCCTATTGGGCTGCTTTGCTGCTGAGTCAGTGGACTGCTGGGCCGAGCTAAACTGGGCCGCTGCTGGGCTGGAGCTGGACCGCTGACTGCTGGAGGTGCTGGACCGCCAGTCAACGCCGGTCAACCATCGGTCAACGCCGGTCAACGCCAGTCAACGCCGGTCAACAGTCAGTCAACTTCTCAGAAAAATCCCAATTTTTTTTTTAAATTTGGGTAGGTAAGGTCGAAACGCTCTCCTAGGGTTTCGCGAAGGTAAGTTTTCGATAAACTTCCTATTTATAGCATTTCGGTTTTAATTTTAATTTAATTTAATTTAATTCCCCCTCCCCGCGGGCCGCCGGTTGATTTAATCCCGGCCGCCAACCCCCCAGGTACGTTCTAAACCTTCTCCTTTGTGGTAGACTGTTTTAGTTAATTAATTAAATTGCTTTGTGTTATTTAAATTAATTGTTATGCGTAGGGGTGGTTTATTGGGTGGTAGGGGTAGAATTAACTAAATTTAATTTTTTCTGCCCGGAATTTTTTAATTGTCATTATGTCCATTTTTTGCTATGTGTTGCATGCTGCCCGGGGTTATTAAAGTGAATACTTTATAACCCGGGTTGGATTATTTTTTCTGTCAATTCAGTCTGTTTAGCTTTGTGTTCCCTTGTGGTTGATACCATGGCTGCAAATCAGTATGGTATGCTTCCATTTAATGGAAAAACAGATTTTGATATTTGGAAGCAGAAAATAAAGTGTGTTTTAATACAACAAAAAGTTTTCAGAGCTGTCACTGGTATTTTCCTAGAATCAGAAGATAAGGCTAAGCAAATTGAAATGAACGAAACTGCTTGTTCAACTATTTACTTGAATCTGTCTGATTCTGTGCTTAGGAAAGTGGGTATTCTTGAGTCCGCTAAGGAGTTGTGGGAGAAATTGGATAGTCTCTATACTGATACCTCTTTGCCCGGGAAGTTGTTCTTACTAGAGAAATTCTTTAGGTTTAGGCTTGACCTGACTAAGGATATAGATGAGAACCTGGATGTGTTTAATAAACTGATACAGAATATCAAACAGGCAGGTGATAAACACATAGATGATTACACTCCCATAGTTTTACTTAATGCCATTCCCGACTCTTATAATGATGTTAAGTCCGCTATTAAGTACGGTAGGGATGAGATTTCATTAGACATTGTGGTGAATGGGTTAAGGAGTAAGGAATTAGACCTGAAGCATGCTAGGGGTGGTGCTAGTCAGTCCAGGGACTCCGGTGAGGCTATGTTTGTTAGGGGTAGATCTAAGGGTAGGTCTAAGAATCCTAAGCAAAATAGTCAGGGTAAGAACGCTAGTCAGCCTGGGAGGAAGAGGAGTAAATCTAGGAAGAGAGTGTGTTACAATTGTGGTAACACTGGCCATTTCATTAAGGATTGCCCCCACCCTAAGAAGACCGAGCATGCTAGTGTAGCTGTTGATAAATGTGACCTTGGTGATATTTTGATGGTTTGTGACCATGTTAATTCTGTGAGAAATTCCCTGTCTGAGCATGAATGGTTGATTGACTCTGGTTGTACCTATCACATGTCCCCCTTTAGAGATTTGTTTTCCACATATGAGTTATGTGATAGTGGCTATGTTTCCTTAGCTGAT